CTCAGGTCCTTACTGTTGTGGAGACTGTTGGCGATGGCCACCACGGACTCAAAGGCAAACTGGGAGAAGTTGGCTGAGGAACCAAGAGAAAAATGGTGGCCCCATCAAAAAACAAAAACAAAACAATGGCCGTCAAGTTGATTATGATGCATGGCTACCCCATGGGTGTCAGAGCAGGACTGTGTTCCATGGGGTTTCAGTGACTGATTTTTTTAAATGTAGATTGACAGGCTTTCTTCTCAGGTGCCTCTGAGTGGACTTGAACTTTCTTTCTGTTAGCAGCCAAGCATGTTAACCACTTGCACTCACCAGGGACTCCAGCCTACAATAGCACATCTTGCCTGTGGAACCACAAAGATGCAACCCAGGATGCAATGCCAACTGGCCGAAGAGGAAACACTTCTTCCTATGACTGAAACCTCCCACGTGTCTGAGCCCACATGATCAGCGTCAGATCCTCACATGTACTCACCCCATGTGGTCAGCCTCAGAGCCCCCACATGCATTCACATCACATGGTCAGCTTCACAGCCCCCACATGCACTCACACCATGCAGTCAGTCTCAAGGAGCCCACACACACTCATGCCATGAGGTCAGCTTCAGGGTACCCACATGTACTCATGCCATGAGGTCAGCCTCAGAGCCCCCCACCTTCACACACTTATATCCATGGAGACCTTGGGTCGTGCAAACAATTAACGTGTTTGGCTGCTAAGAGGTTGGAGGTTGGAGTCTACCCAGATGTGCTTGGGAAGAAAGCCCTGGTGATCCTGCTATACGACAGAAAGTAGGTTAGTGTCTGCCAGGGCTGAGTAGGGGGTAATAGACCATGACTGCTAACGGGTATGGGCTTTCTTTTTTGGAGAAATGAAAATGTTCTGGAATTAGATAGCTCTATTGTCTTGACATTCCCTGGATATTAAAAAATTTAATGAAACATTAAAATAGAGTTCTTAAAATTATCGTATTTTTAAAATAAACTTTATTGAGTGATTAGAGGCAGTCTTTCAAATTCCATTCATAGCAATTTATGCATTTACTTTCCTTCTAAGACATTTTTATTTTCTTGACCAACATGAAAATATAACATTTTATATTGTGATAGTTGTACAACCTCATGAGTTTACTAAAACCCACTTAACTGTACACATTAAAATACTGAATTTTATGGCATGTGAATTATAGCTCTGTAAAAAAAGGGGGGGGTCACACTGAATTTCAATTTAGAGAGCTGTTTTCTCTCCATTGAACATGGTTTGTCTCACTCTTTTAAAATGTTCTACTTCTTTGCTGGTCGAGAAAACAACAGTCTTTTAGGGGTAAAATAAATCTATAAGTTACCAGGAATGGAATTTGAAAGACTGCCTCTAATCATTCAATAAAGTTTATTTTAAAAAATACTGTCATCTTACCACCAGCTGCTGTTGGGTTGACTGACTCCTGGTGACTCCATGTCAGAGTAGAACAGCTCTCCACTGGGTTTTCAATGGCTCATCTTTTACAAGTAGATGGCCAGGCCTTTCTTCCAAGGTGTCTCTGGATGAACTTGAACCTCTAACCTTGTGGTCAGCAGCTGAGCACATGAACCATTTGCACCACCGAGGGACTCCATTATAATCTTAAGAACTCTACTTTAATGCTTGGTTCTTTGTTCACTCATTCATTCCTTTGTTCATTCATTGCTTTTTAATACCCAGGGATTCACAAAACAACAGAGCTGGCCCTGGTGCCCCTGGAACCCACTTCACTAGTGGAAAGGATGACAGCATTGTCCTGGGTTGCTGGGAAATCCTGCTTAGGAGGCAAAGCAAGGCTTCCCTCCAGCCAAAGCCCGGGCTGTGGTGCCCACCTGTCTGGCCGGCGATGACCATGGACTGCACAGACAGCTGGAAGAGCTTGTCGAGCACCAGGTGCAGGAAGAGCACCAGAGGCTCCAGGCGGGAGGAGTTGAGGCAGATGATGCTGAGCTTCAGCTCATG